TCTAGTCTAGAGGAATAATTGTCCATATGAATAAGCTTAAATGAAGCTCAAGGTTTAAATTTTTTATTTTAACTCTTTTATTATGGACGATTTCAAATAAATAAAAATGGGGAGAGATTAATATAATTACCCAGCTTCAACAGTTATCAACTCATAGTCAATTTTGTTTCATCTATATCCTCATTAATTTGCCCCTCCCTGCCTTTATTTTGAAGCAAGTATCAAATATTGTATCATCTCAAATATTTCATAATATAAAAAGGTGGCTTTTTAAACATTAGTTATCTTGTAGAATGACCCACATTCAAAATGTGTCAGATTGCTTCTTCTGATATTACTTAGCTTGTTCCTCCCTCCCCAGGGGTGTTTGATGCTTGGTAGAGAGGAGAGGTGGCGGTGAGCCAGCATGGCAAGCAAAGAGAGCTTGTATGGACTTTACGTTCCATTACTGGGTCCAGCACTTACGAGGTGGCTATGGGACCTTGAGCAAGTCTAATCTCTTGAAACCTCATTTTCTTGTCTGGAAAATGAAGGTGATAACAAGAGTGCTTTTGTGGAAAGCTGAGCTTGTGGTACACACAAAAGGGGCTCTCAGTCCCTGTAAGGGGCAAGGAGAATGTAGCAGTGGTGGGAAAGGCCATCCCAATCCAACAGAGCAGCAGGACAGGAGTGAGGCTTGGGTGAAGATGACAAAGAAGAGGGGCCGTTCTGTAATGGCACCAATAATGTTTTTGCTGTTAATAATGAAAGGCAGCAGAACATGCCACCCAAAACATGTCACATTGCCATGAAGATTATTTTGGGCTGAAACCACTTAAAAAGTGGTATCCCTTTTTTTCTTCCTAAAAGCAGGAGGTAAAACCCTCATAAAGGAAGATGTCTTCCCTATATCAGGAGGAAAGTACCACCCTTATCATCAAGGACTGGAATTTGAAACCTAGAGAATTTTGCACAAACACACCTTGTTGAAATATTTCTTATCTTCCTTTAGCCTCCCCATATATTTTACTTTTCTACAGTTGCCTCTCTTTGTGCAGCCTGGTATAAAAGCATTTAGGTTTTGCCACTTATTTGGGTCATTTCCTTATGAGGACTCCCATGCCACATAAAACTTATATTAAATAAATTTGCATGCTTTTCTCCTGCTAATATGTTTTATGTAAATCTAATTCTCAGGCCCAGTTGAAAACTCTAAGTGAGTAGAGGTAAAATTTTGCCTTCCCTATAATGAATACACAATGATTCTCTCAAAGCTCGAAATGTAAGGACGATAGTGTTCCTTTTGCTTGAGTAAGAGCATAAAGTGTCCTGGAGCAGAGAAAAAGGCAAAGACATTGGTGTGGGATGGGATGACATGATCCCTTGCTGGCTTCTCACCTTTGAGAATGGGGTCCTTGTGGTGGGATGGTTCTGAGGACAGTTTATTGAAAGTTACAGCTTTATCCTCTACAGGGGTAATTATGCATAATGGGTGAAGTCATTGGAGTCTTTAATTTATATAAAATTAGAGACGTTGGCAGCTATGTTTCCATTCAAAAAGCTGACTTTTGAAGCATCCACTGATTCTTACAGATGCTGAGAAATAAACTGGTATAAACACAAACACTTGGAAATATAAATTAACAGCAGAGCGAGGGCTTTCTAAAGCACAGTTGATAAGTAAGCTGCAAGAACCGGTAGTGCTCAGAGAGTATTTCAACTTATGAATCTTCGGGGCAAGGTATTTAGAGTCCCTAAACACATCCAGTCATGCAATGCAAAATGATGGAAGAATGTGTTCAATTCAGAGAGTGAGCAGTACATTAGGGTCACAACTTTTCACTGAATATTTGACGTTTCTGGTTACTTATTTGCTATTAGTCACATTTTAAGATGAATCAATTCACTTGTCCAATTCGTATTTATTTGGAATCCAGGAATGAGAATGAGCAAGGCCTGTTTGGGTTGGTGGAAGCATACACGAAGTGCAATTTTTCCAGAGTCACACACTAAACTATAGGCCACCCTCAAATCATCTCATTTATCCTCACATCACCCCTTTGATGTAGCTATCATTATCTCTCTTCTATGGAGGAGAAAGCTAAGGCTCAAAGAGGTTAAGGAATTTGTTCCAGGTCACTTAGTAAATAAGTTGTACAGCAGGATTTCAAGCTATGGGGGGATCTAATAACCAGTTTGGACTTTTGTACAGACAACAATATTGTAATATTGTAATTCTGTGGATATATACTCCTTTTTGGTTCTTGTATTGGGTAATGATGAAACTTAACATAAGGAAGAGCTGTTTGATGGCATAATATAGGATTCACAGGGGGAAGAAAGAACTGGTGTGCAAAGAGATCAGCTAGAAGGTTGTGGCAGCAATAGAGGCTCTGGAGATGGAGGGATTAAAGTTTGGAACTAGAAAACCTGGTTCTAGCCTTGTCTCTACCATGATGCTATGCTGCTGCCTGGGGAACCTCAGGCAAGTTACAGCCACATTGCTGAAGCTTTCTTACTCCTCCTTAAACAAGGGTTTGATAAATTGAGATGAGAAAAATCTCTTGGTTCTTTCAAACTCTAAAATTCTGCCTGATACCTTTGAATTTTAATGCATTCTAAACTAAACATTTATGAGGACCCTAAATATCATCCAGAATCTAGAAAAGAATTTAGATATAATAATTCTTAACCTAGTCTTCTTTCCAAAGTACAAAGGAGTAGAATTGTTTTTAAGAATGCTTTCTAAACCAGATAAGCCAATCATTTCTGCATCTTACTGTTGTTTTTGTTGTTGTTGTTGTTAAGAAAATGATATGGCTTTTGCTGTTATAGCAGTGATTGATGATATTAAAATCAAATAGACATATTATTCTTGAAACAAATGAAGTGATTTAAACCAATTGCTAAGAAAGTTTATGAAAATATACCTAGGAGGCACAAATTATATTGCCATCAAATTAATTTGTTTTCTGAGATAAAATTTAATTTAAAATGTGATATTTCTTTAACTGGTTCAATCAACAGACTTTAAAGGGATTTTAGATAGAGAACACAGGAAATAAATACAGTAATGTCGGAGCAAATAATCAGCGGAATAGTTGTTCTGTGTTCTGTGGCTTGTGATGCTTCTAGAAAGTATTTTTAACAACTCCCCGAGGAATTGGCTCTTGTTGGTGTGAAGCCAGGCTCTTCTCTCAGCTCACATCTGCAAACTTCTCCATCCTCATATCCTATAACAAATCCATTTCTAAGCTCTGCTGAGCCCTTGGTCTCAGTGTTTCTCAGAATGGAACCTTTCTCATCTTCAAATATTTGGGGATGGGATTCTCATTGGTGGGTTACAGAAACAGTCTTCTCCTCAGAATACCCCAAAGGGCAAAGGAATCTTCCCAAGATAATGCTTTCATTAAGCCATTTCTATTATTAAAACCTTCTGATATCTCATTGCTTATAGGATGAAATCTAAATTCTGCAACTGAGATCCCCATCCTTTCAGCCAAGCAAATATATTAACTTTCTTTAGACTTTAATCCTTCACTTTTGATATTTTTCTCCTTGGAATGCTCTGCTCTTTTTCTATATCAGCTCATGACCACCACTGCCTTTGATTCTGTCTGGAAACTCACTTCCTTCAGGATGTTTTCCTGGTTTAATAGCTACTCAGCAAATAAACAACTCCTGCTTTTGAGCTTTTAATCACATCAAGTGCTTTTAAGATAAATTATCCAAGTCTAGAGTAAACAACTTATAGAGATTTTCATTCTTTAAGAAACCACCCAGAGTGATTTTACTTTGTGAGAGAAAGCATTCCAGTTTTGGGGTGTCTGCTTCTTCGCTATAGGAATCCATACTAGAACTAGAGCAAAATGGCTCTTTATGGTGACCTCTAGTGGGCACGGGACAATCCTACAAAATTATGAAAAGTGAAGGGCAAAGTAAAACCCATCTCAGTAACCAACTGGGTTACTCTCAGGTCAGATGACTGCATCCCACCCTGCTCCACCATTATTTTTCCTTCCAGTATTTGTTTTGCATTTAACATAGTTTGCCTTACGACTCACCTGTTTCGCCTCTGGCGGGCACTTCGTGGGCTGGGCTGCCGGTGTCGGATGTCGTGTGACTAGCTGGTAGCAGTTTAAAATAATCCCTGCCAAGCGGCACCCACTGCCCGGGCATTGATCAGAGCAGAGAGCAAGGCGGTTCGCTCTGCGGAGTCTTAAAAAGCTCTTAAAGCTCTGAGGGCTGGTGCTGCAGCCGGCTTGAGGATGCAAGGGGGAAAGAAATCAAGACTTTATGAAAAGGAGGATGCAGATGAAGGCAACGAGCAGTTCTGTTCTTGCCAGTGGCAAGGCGATTCTTCTCAGACTTTCACCCTACTGTACAGAAAGCTTCATGATGGGGTCCAGGCGCACTACACGTAGGCGCCCTCTTAGGACCGGTGCCCCAGAAAGAGGGGGCTGGAGCTGCTCCCTTCCGTGGGAGGGTAGCACCGAGGCTGGGTGCTGGGGTGTGTGGCCGCCTTCGGAGCACACGGTACGTGATCTCCACACCGGGAGAGGAAGAGCAAAGTCGACAAGAAAAACAGTTGCTGGGATGCTTTCTCTGAGAAATCCTTTGGGCGGTCTCAGAAACCGGGCTGGGTTCCGGATACTTTCTGGAAAAAGCTCTCCAAACGCCTTCTGTCTCCGCCCCTCAAATACCGCACCCCAGTCCTCACCTCTCCTTACCATCCAGTCTCCTCTCTTTGGGACTGTCAAAAGGGCCCTTGGAGGCTGTCCAAGTCATCCCGATGGCCGGGGGTGGGACTCGGGAGAGGCACCCCGGCCGCGGGGTTTGGCACTCACCTCCACCCTGGGGCTCCTTGCTCCCCGCCCCATGGACCCCTCCCGGCCACTGCAGGCAGGAGCGGAGGGGGAGGACACCGTCATGAGGCGGGGAGCCCGAGGTCCAGGGCGGGGCGCGGGGGAATCCCAACCCCAGCGAACCAGGGAGGTGCGGGCGCGGGTGGGAAGAGGAGGGCGGCGCGCAGAGGGAGGTGAGCGGAGCGGAGCTGGGAGGCAAGGAGGCCCCGCCCCCGCCTCTCTCAGAGCCGGCTCTTGGTCGCCTCCGAACCCGCTCACTTTGCTGTCGCCTCTGGACGGCGGCGGGGCGGTTGCCAGAGCTGCAGCGGGAGGGAGCGCCGGGGACCGGGAGCCATCCCGCATTGGCATCTCCACCGGTGCCCGTGCCCGTCTGGGGGGACAGCGCCCCTGCCTTAAAGGGGGCACCCCGGCCTCGGAGGGGGCATCCCTAGGGCTCGAGGGGCAGCGGCGCTGCTATCCTCGTTCTCGGCCAGTGGGGCGCAGAACTGGCGCGGGAGAGGACTCCCGGCCACCTGCAGGTACCGCCGCGCCGAGGGAGAGTCTCTAGGAGCGACGCTGGACTGCCGAAGAGGCTAGAAACGAGGGACCACTAGGACAGCGAAGGGCAGGAGCGGAGCCCCGAGGCACAGCGGGCCAGACAGCCTGTGGTCCCCGACGGCGCGCTCCCGGGTCAGCTAACATCAGGTAGACCTCGCGCGGCGGCCGGGGCACGGCGGCGGCGCCCTCGGGCCTCGGGGCCTCAGGGCCGCCAGCCATGACCTTCGGGCGCAGCGGGGCCGCCTCGGTGGTGCTGAACGTGGGCGGCGCCCGGTACTCGCTGTCCCGGGAGCTGCTGAAGGACTTCCCTTTGCGCCGCGTGAGCCGGCTGCACGGCTGCCGCTCGGAGCGCGACGTGCTCGAGGTGTGCGACGACTACGACCGCGAGCGCAACGAGTACTTCTTTGACCGGCACTCGGAGGCCTTCGGCTTCATCCTGCTCTACGTGCGCGGCCACGGCAAGCTGCGCTTCGCGCCGAGAATGTGCGAACTCTCCTTCTACAATGAGATGATCTACTGGGGACTGGAGGGCGCACACCTTGAGTACTGCTGCCAGCGGCGCCTCGACGACCGTATGTCCGACACCTACACCTTCTACTCCGCGGATGAGCCCGGCGCGTTGGGCCGCGACGAGGGGCGACCCGGCGGTGCCGAGACGGCCCCCTCTAGGCGCTGGCTGGAGCGCATGCGGCGGACCTTCGAGGAGCCCACGTCGTCGCTGGCCGCGCAAATCCTGGCCAGCGTGTCAGTGGTGTTCGTGATCGTGTCCATGGTGGTGCTGTGCGCTAGCACACTGCCTGACTGGCGCGCCGCGGCAGCCGACAACCGCAGCCTGGATGACCGGAGCAGGTACTCTGCCGGCCCTGGGAGGGAGCCCTCCGGGTAGGACGCATTGCTTCTTTGCCCGTCGCGTCCGTCCTGTCGCGTCTGTCCATCCGTTCCGTCGGTCCCGTCTCTGTCCTGTATGCCTCTGAGCGGCCTAGCTGATCTAGTTCTGAGTCCAGCGAGGCCCCGAGCGTGGCAAGCTAAGCTAAGGGACGCGTTGGGCCTCACTCCCCACCCCAATTTTCCCAGAGCACAGACGGGCTTTGGTCCATGCACTAGACGCCCTTCTTGTGGGCCATTAGCCAGGCTTGGGGAGGGGTAGATAATGACAGGCCTCCCTCCCATCTTTGTAGATTACTTTTGAGCAATTAGCAACTGCTTAATTAGATTTCTCTAAACTTTTATTGTTAGTATTAAACAATTTAAAATTGAGCTAAGAGCAGTTTGAGTTATTTGCCAATTTTTAGTGGTGTTTGAAAAGACGAAGTCTTGTTAAACTATTATACATTCTGCATAATATGTACTGTAATGGCATTGTTGTTATAAAAGAGATTAACTTAACATAGACTCTAAATGATGGATGTCTGTGCCCTTTTCTTTCCTCCTTTCCTACAAAGTATGGAGTTAACAACGCACCTGCCACCACCAAAGAGTCACGCCGTGACGTTCATAGGGGATCTTCAGTATGGGGAGGGAAAAACCGTTACCTTGGGGGAGGAGAAAAAGCTGAAATGCCCTAAATCCAGAAACAGTATATGAGTGGTTAATATATATTTTTTCACTTTACAAGGATGAGTGGAAAGTATTTAAATCTTTCCTTAGATCATTCTTACCTTTCAATAATGATAACATGCCTTTGTTCTTAGTACTAGTTTATTTTGCATATTTGGTAGGAAGAATAAGCAGAGTCTAGTTGGACTTTTGAGGGAGACAGCCTGTTTGGGCACAAATACAAAATTTCATATTTTGTTTTACCTTTGGTACTGTTTTAAGATTCCTTCTTTATTCATTTTTAAAATTAGGTTGCACTGGGTAATCTTTTCATGACAGGCATGTGCATGTTTCTAATGGTGCTATGTGCCTAGATGTTGCAGTGGATTACTTCCTCACCATATTCTTCCTTTGGAAAGTAAATATTTTAATGGAAATCTAAGTAAATAAAATTGTCTAGTACTACAGAGTCCATTAATGATAGGCCATCTTGGCATGAAATCCAAGATACATGCTTTGAAAGGAAATTCATTAGGAAACTCATTTCGTTTAGTGTATTAAGTTCTGAGTTTTCAATTCACAGATAAGAATTACTAATTTGTTACTTCAGCAGTACAATGAAATTAATTTATATACCTAAATAGATAAGTACCCTTGATTCTTTTAAAGGGTCATAGGAAAATAAGCCATGAGAGATTGGCCTTGAAATGATTCACTAGTAATTACAGAATTCTAAGGTTAGTGAAGGTTCAAGCTATATTAGCAAAGGAAATAGGAGAATTGAATTATTGGCACAAAAACTGAGGGGAGTTGGCTAAATCAATAAATAAGCAAAAACAGTCAACCTGAACAATAATTTTAGGGGGATGGAGGGAGTTTGGGGAGAAGAGGAGGGCAGCCTGGAGATACTAAAGTAAAGCATTTGGAAAGAAATGAGAGATATGAATAATAATTTAAGAGAGAGAGAGAAAGAAACCAAAAAGGGAAGAGACAGATGGAAAAGAGGAAGACTGCAAAAGAAGTGAAGGAAGAAGATAAGAGTAATGCTTAATTTGTGTATACGTATTTTATGTATGTATATAATTATTCAAGTCAGAACTGTTTCCTAGAGACGCAGATATTTCAGGCAAAAGCATATTTTTCTTGGCTTAATGGTCCAGTTTCAAGCTTCACTCTGAGGGACTGACAGGTATATACAAACCAATACCTGTTATCCCAAACAGATAAACTGAAGGATGGCTGAATGACTGAGGAGGCTGCACATTACAGAGGGAGCCTCCCACAGGTCTCCAACTGAGAGGGCCCCTTAGCTGGTACTTTGTGTATTATCTCTCAGCCCCTGCTTGCTTATGGTTGCTGAAATTAGTCTTTCTGAAATATCATTCTGAACATTTGGCCATATTTGGCATCTACAAAGTAAAGTAGAAACTTAAAGGCCAATTATCTTGGCCTTTAAGGCTCTTTATGCCACAATCCTCCTTTCTGGACTTAGTCCATTGTAATTTGCAAGCATCTTTTGAGTTATCTGCTGTGTTCAAGATACTCTTGGTGTTCTAAATATTATAACTTTTATTTGTAAAGAAAAGGAGTCAAGTTGGCGATGTAGGAATCAGAGGCACAATCAATCCAATAATTGAATTGAGTTGTTCTGGGGAGGCCTTCAAGGTGAGGGAGGATGGAAATAAGTTATCTTTGGGAGGTTGCAGAGATTGTACACTGCTTGACATGGGCAGGGAGTATCATTTATATAAATTACAGTGTTTGCAGCCTGTGCAACCATGTGTGCCCCACCTGGGAACAAAATAAGGATTTTCCATGTAAAAGAAACAGTGTGGACATGGGCTTGAAATTTTTATGTTTAGGGGACATTAGTGGTAGATGGAGAGCAGATGTTAGAAGGACTGGAATGAGCGGGAGAATCATTTTATGTTACAAGGAGTTAGCTGTTGGTGGGTTTGGGTTATATATGTAAAGTAATGTTGTGATTGTGTACTGTGAATTAGAATTAGAGGGACTGGAAACAGGAGGATGAGTTTGGAGAGAGTTTTCCAGAGGGAGGGAATGAGAGCTTAGATTGCTTTGAGGTGGCGAGAAGAGGAGAAATGACAACTTTGGGAGCTGTTAGGAAGAATCAAAATTAATCCAGGGCATTGGAAGGATACAGGTCCAGGGACTGATTAAGTAGACTTCCAGGAGCTAGGAGCACTTCTGCCACCTGCAGGCTCCATTTGTCTAACCTGGCCTGTTCACTGGTTCCCAGACTATCCAAATGTGCCTTACTGTGCATTCCCTTGCCTATTGAAACTGGATCATCCATCAAGCCGCACTCAGATTCTATTTCTCTTTTGAAGCCTTTCCTTATTACCCTAATAAATGTTATTTTCCTCCTGAATTTCTTGAGGGATTACTTACTAGTGCTACTTATTTGGCACCTACAATATTCTTCCTAGCATAGTAGTTATTTTTTCATATTAACATGTCCTAGCTTCTAAACTAGATGTGTTGAAAAGCCCTGGAAGGCAGCTACATTCTCTTGTTCTATTTATTATGATAGCTACTAGAAAAAATTATTATTCCGGCACAATAAATATCTACTGTTTATATTACATTTCAAAATATAACCTTACAGGAATATATCTTCCCTTGCAGTGATTGAATAGTTGTGTAGGATAAGGCTGTGGGCTTTAGGCAGTGGAATTCTTAGTTGAGGAGGATGAGATCTTGTGCTGGAATGAGAAAAAAGTCTGTTAAATCAAGGAACAATTATTTATCAAGTACTTATTGTGTAAAAGTTATAAAGATAAGAATAATACAAAATTTTCAATTAACCTCTAAAATTTTGGAATGGCATACAATCTGAAGTTTGGAAGAAATCTTGAGAGGTTTTCTAAATCAATAATATGAAACCTTTTGGGGTATGAACATGGTCTTCTAAATTGATTTGTTTTAGATGATTAATAATCATACAGATAATAGTTTAAAGTCCAAGAGCTCCAAAAGCATGCCTTTCTCCATTCCCTAGCAATTCAGTTATTTTCTCTAGGTATAACCAAAGTAATGGTATTTTGTGTCATTTCAGAGGCATTTTATATATTCACAAGCATATCATATATATTTACAAAAACCAGTGAGATAACACTGTTCTGAAATTTGCTTTTTTAACTAACCAACATGTCATAGAGATTGTTCCATACAAGTCTGTAAAGAGCTGCCTGATCCTTTTATGCAGCTGCAAAATATCCCGTTGTATGAATGTCCCATAATTTCTGGACATTTACATTGTTTTTTGGCTGCAGGATATGTGGTACTGAATATTCTTTTGCTTTATGAAAATATATCCATAGGATAAATTCCTAAAAGTTAAGTCAAAGGGCATGTGCACTTTTAATTTTCATAGATAATTCCAAATTGCTTTCCAAAAAGATTATATCAGTTTATGCTCCTATCAGCAATATGTGACAGAACATGTTTATTCATAATCTACAAAGTGTTAATTTTGATCTTTACCATGGTGAAAGGTGAAAAGTGATATCTAGTAGTTATAATTTGTTTTTGCCTTATTTTGAGTAAAATTGCGCATCTTTACGTATATTTAGGGGTCATTTATCTTACTCTTTGGTGAGCTTTTTATACCTTTTGCTCATTTTGTCAATGACTTTCCTAGTTTGAAGATTTAAAAAATTAAGAAATTGGCCTTTGTTTATCATATGAATTAAAAATATTTTGTTCTGTAGTTTAGGACTCCATTTAGAGAAAACCACAATTGCCTAGACCATAGCAGCTGTACTTTTAGTATCTATTTATTGAGGAAAAATATATTATGATTAAAAAATAATTGTGAATTCTAACCATTTATCAACCATTTTTTGACTCTTCTGACTATGCCAGGCACTGTTGATACAGAGGTACATAAGACAGGGTTTTTGCTCATAGGGAGCTGGTAGACTAATGGTGGTAGTAGAAGCGGGGGACAGACAACAAAGTCAGCAAATAAATAAGAATTTCAGATAGTGAAAGAAAATCAGTCTAGAAAGCAGCAGGAGTGCTCCTTTGCATAGGATGTGAGGAGGTGGCTTGAGACCTGAACAATGAGAAAGATCCAGTCCTGGAAGAGGGAGGGAAGAATATTCTGGACAGAGGGAACAGCAAAAGCAGACACTCTGAGATGGCAATGGACTTGGCTTGTCTACAGAACAGGAGGAAGTTTCATGTAAGCTAGCACTTAGTCTAAAGGTGGGAGAGGGGTAGATGAGGTTTTAGGGAGACAGGGACCTATCAGGCAGGGCCTGTGTGACGTGGGAATGAGTTTAGATTTTATTTCAAGTGCAACAGTGAAGTCTTTGGAA